AGTTTTCCCTTTTAATAAGCTTTCTATTTCTGACTTCCTCAGATGGACTCAGACTTTTGCTTTAGAACAGAACTTCCACAACACTGGGAACTCTGAATAAAATCCTGTCCTGTCTCTTTAAGGCTGAAAACATCAGGCCCAGCTGGAGCTTGTAACGTCAGTTATTGTTGATTTTTCAATTATGGGAATGCAAGTTTTAAGGAGTGACTGTGTCTCAAAGCTCCTGCCGGGCTCCTGCCGAGGCCCCTGTGAGGTGCAGTGGTTCCTCAATGTCCCAGCAGACCTGGGGAGGTTCACCCAGGTGGACGGAGCGGGGGGGCACCCTCATTACTCCACTTTCCTCCTCCCAGCTCCTCTGTGCCCACAGCTCTTCTATCCAGTATTCTTTAATTAACAGCCATTGTGTGGGGGCCAGAGAGCAGGCCGGGTTTCCTGGACTTTCCCGGGCTAATGAGACTGCCTCATGTTTATTTACAAGCCTCCACCCGGAGCAGGGGACCTGAGGAGGGGGGGCGGGCCCAGCCTGGGAATGACAATGAGGCATGGAGCCCATATGAAGGAGGAGCGGAGCAGGCCACTTACAGGCTGACATGATGGCACTGTGACTCAGCCAGCTGTCCCCGGGGGGGGATTTATGCAGACCGCTGCACGGGGAATCGAATCCCTCTCTGCCTGGTTTAGACCCGAGAGGTTCTTTGCTGTGATGGTCCATCTATTCACAGCCACTCCGTCCAGAAATGATACGTCTCACCGTGGGGCACAATCTGTTCCTCACACGATCAAACCTGCATTCACCTTTTGTTTCATCATTTCTTTAAATCTCAGGCGGTCCAGTTGAATCCCGACATCTGTGTGCGTCACACGTTGAGCAGCACAGCTCCATAGGAGAGGATCCAGATGTTCCACTGCCTGAGAACCATGCAGAGAAGAAGAGGCCTGCTGAGGATGGAGGAATCCTCCATCAGGCAGCAGGATCCAGATGTTACAGACTGATGTTAGAGGGGGGACATTAGTCTTTTGTTGCCGTCAGATTGAAGATGACAGCAAACATTGGTGGTTAAAAAGGTTCAAATGTCTCAGCATGTTCATTTTAGAGTGATTTATAAGATAAACTTTGTGTTTTATGAAATCTGCTTCAAGGTTAAACAATGAAATCACAGCTGTCAGATTAAACAATGTTTGATTGATATTCAAATCTGTGGTTACATTCAAGCACAGAGGAGAATGGTTTAAACTAGTTTAAACTCCGAGAGTCAGACACCCCCTCTCTGTAATTCTGACTCAAATTATTAAGATTTATGAATTCTTTTGCACATTATTTATCAGCATTTATGTTCTGTATATGTATATGTATATATACATATACATTTGTATATCTGGAGTGTGTAACGAAAATAATTTCTCTTGGGGATTATCCAATTATTTCTGATTTTGATTCCTAAAGAAAACAATCCTACCAACACTTATTTGAACTAATCCATTTCTTTAGAACTGAGATCACTAAGACATGTGACGCCTGCTTTTTGTGATCCAGCGTTAGATATTAAATAGACATTCTAATGTGTGTATGAAGCATTTAATGAGTTCAAATCTTGATGACATTTAATGGCTTATAGTCCTCTAACTGACCTTCAGTAACATTTAAAACATGAAATGCAAGCGAGAACTGCAGCCCCAGATAATCTGCTGAACAGAGTTCACCAAGCTTTGTCTGCAAGTGTACACTCTGTTAACTTTGATCTTTAGTCACCATAAAAAAAGGGCTCTTTTGATGCCTACACTGAGCGTAAAAAGGTACGTGGTGCCCCCCCCTGGGGAACTCTCCGTGCTGTGTACTGTGTTCCCGGGCCGTGTGGTGAGACGTGACAGAGTCAGCTGTGGCAGAAAGCAGCCCTCAGCTCCACTGATGGCGGCCTCCTCTTCCTGGCTGACCTCTGTGGAATCATCAGCTGTGACATGTGATGGACTAAGGTGATGCCGGACACGCTGCCAGAGGAGAGAAAGGCCAAAGGGAGGAAGAGGAGGGAGGCTGAAGGCCCCATGAGCTCCACACAGACTGAGACAGAGAGGCTGGCAGGTTTATTAGCATGAGAACTCATGTTTACAGCAAATAATTCTAAAAAACTATATGAATTACATTTCTATGAATATGCATGAGCTATTATGTGGTTGGCTAATAGTGTTTGAGAGCAGCAGCTCCAGCCATCAGCACGTTTCCTCTCACCTACTGAAAAACTGGCTGTGTTCCTGCAGCTTTTCTGCTGAAGCTGCAGGACTGTTCCAGTGGCCCACGCAGTCAGAGGCCCCGCCTCATGACCCGGAGCGCTCATCATGCACAGGCAATGACAGGCTGACATTATTATTCGATTAGAATACAGAAAGCTACACATACATGGCTCTAAATGCAGAAACAGATACATTAAAAACCCTTAAAACAGCTTTAAGGGCCCCAAAAACCAGTTTTAAAATCCCCTAAAATGGCTTTAAAAGCCCCTAAAACAGCTTTAAAGCCCCCCAAAAACAGTTCAAAGCCCCAAAAAACAGCTTTGAAAGCCACAAAAACAGCTTTAAAAGCCAAAAAATGTCTTTAAAAAGGACACAGATACAGAAACATTCCCCATATGGAGCCGCACCCAGCTAACAGTGATTTTTTTATAAATGAAACAGGGTCCAATCTAAACAGATTACTTTGAAATCTCATGAAACAGAAAGATTAACTCTGTGTGTGTGTGTGTGTTCAAACATATCAGTGAAACACATCAGACCAGCCCAGCTCTTCCTCCTGTTCAGCCTAGACACAGTGCACTCCAGCGTCTTCATCATGATTGCAGTTGTGAGTACCAGCTCCACTGTTTGGACAGTCAAAGACGTCCGATTCTGCTCCTGTGCACTTCAGCTCGTCCAGCCAGATCTGCCCAGTTCCTGAAGACAGCAGAGGACACAGACATGCATTCGTCATATCCGATCCTCCGATGGAACCATAACCCCAACCATGTAAGGACAAATTTCATCTACAATACATGGATCCTAAAAACGACTAAACTGCTAAACAATCCTATAACCAGAGTATATATGACAATAACCCCATTAGTATAACTGTAACCATGAATTCATCCTGGTCGTGATCCATACAGGAGCTTGAAAGTGGAGGAAGGTTGGATGGCTTTGTTCAAGCTGGAAGGATCACAGCTTCCAAAGCAATGCTGCCCATCTCCCAGAGAAAGGCTCGGAGCTACAGGTTTTTCTGGGGCTTTCTCACACTCGTAGTCGTAGTGTTTTGTCTCTGAATGAAGAACCAAACAGTGTCAAATCAGTCAGCTGAGGTTGTTCCTCTGGGTTCCTGAGCGGATCCCCAGCTGCATCTCTCATCTATGTCCTCCCAAAGGGAATTACTCAGAGGACACAGCAGTGTCATGTATGGCTGTCTGAGAGAGCAAACTGTGATCCTCCAGGGATCATGTGATCGTGTCCTGATGTGGAAATGCTAACTGCACATGGGAAAGTTGATGTTTTATGCTGCATTTGGGGTCAGAAACCAAAGAATTAGGGATAAAAGGGTGACCAAAGGTTTTAACTAAACACGATCCTGGCTGGCTGGATGCTTTCTGTTGAATGTCCCAAACGTTGTCTGATTGGAGGAAGCTGAACAATGAGGAGAGCTTTGACATCTGAAGGTTCCTCTACCTGAAGCTCAGAGGAACCCTGGTCAGGAACCCGCCTCTTACCTGGGCTGGCGGTGAAGGTGGAGACGACGGACTGGAAGCCCAGCATCTTACAGATCACTTTGCCGTCCAGCCTATCGAAGCTGTCATCACAAACGGTGCCCCAGACGTTGTTGTACTTGACCTCTATCCTTCCTTTGTATTTTCCAGGCACGAGGCGCACAGTGGCTATGGAAAACACAGAGTTTCAGAGGAGAGAAACCCAGCTCCTAGTGCAGTCCAAGGTTATCTCCCGCCTAGACTACTGTAACGCCCTCCTGACTCTTTGTAAGTCGCTCTGGATAAAAGCGTCTAAATGCTGAAACATGAACATAAGTAGGAATTCCTTTGCATTGCTTGCATCAGTGAGAAAGCCAATCTGCCAAAAGATGATTTGTCTGGGACATAAGCAGTTCATAAGCAGTGAAAAGCAGGTTCATGTGGAACTTGAAGCATAATGGGGAACACAGTGTGAGAATCTTTACTGCTACTGTTGGTGTATTTGGGACCTGATGAGCGTTTCAGCAGCATCCACAGCCTCACAGAGGGAAAGGGTCGCTCAGATCTCAGGAATGGATCTGAATTCTTATGCCTGCACACAGGGAGCCCACCAGATTCCTCTCCTGTGTCATGAAAAGGAAGGAGATAGTTCTCCACTGACACTCACACTCTTTTACCAGCTCCCCCTTTTCTCCTTTGGCACCTGGTGGTCCAGGAGGTCCTGTGGAGGACAGAGGTCCAACATAGAGAACTTTCAGTACAATAAAATTAAATGAAATTCACTCAATATGCATTTTACACTAAATCATGACAGAAAAATCCCCCAAATGAAAAAGGTTCATTTTCAGGTCCAGAACATACAGTTCGTATGACCATCTCAGATGATTTTCATCTTTCAGTTCATTCTTTCTGGACCTAACTTGTGTTGATAATCTGATTTTGACTCGCCTGCAGTTCCATTGAAGCCCCGAAGTCCTCGATCACCTGCAGACAAGGAAATCTGTGGGATTATTCTGATATTAATCCCACTCACCAGACCTCTGGAACATCTGACTATGACTCAATTTAGATTCCTGGAAAGACTTTCGAACCGGAAGTCTTATGTCTAGCTTCTGCTCTGGAATCATCTGGCTGTCGGGCTTTAAGACGTAATGAACAAAGGACATGTTTAACCAGCTGGACTGCACAGACCTGGAGGTCCGAGCGGACCCGGCTCTCCTTTTTCTCCTTTGGGACCAGGAACGCCTGCACAACAAACACCAACATTGTGGGTCTGACACACAAAAACAAATGTATTGACAATGCAGTTTTGTGAGGAACTCTCTGTGTGGGAGGCAGAAGACAGCGGGTGGTCCTGGTCCAGGACATTTCACTTCATTTGGAAGACACTCTTTCAGTAATAAAAGAATACATGCAGACACATAAAGGCAGGCCTTGTTAGCCCGGTGTCTCCCCAGAGGCGTGGTATGGTCAGGGTTACAGGATTAGAGTCAGGGTTAGCGGTTGGGTTCAGGGTTAGGGGTTGGGGTCAGGGTTAAGGTTAGGGTTAGGTTTAGGTTTAGGATTAGAGTCAGGGTTAGGTCAGGGTCAGAGTCAGGGTTAGAGTCAGGGTTAGGGTTATGGTCAGGGTTAGAGACAGGGTGAGGGTCAGGGTTAGAGTCAGGGTCAGGGTTAGGGTCAGTGTTAGGGTCAGGGTTGGAGTCAGGGTCAGGGTTAGGGTTTAGGGTTCAGCCTGGGCAGTGCTTCTGAGGATCCGGCAGCTTCCGTCTTTCCTCTCAGACAGTCATAAAATGCTGTTGGTTGGGTGAATGATGGTGTCCCTTACAGGCAGTCTGGGGCAGCAGGGGGTCCTGAAGGTGGTCACCCACTGACTGAAGCATTGTGAGGTCGCAAACTTGTATTTGCATGCATATATTTGGGGATAGTTGTCCTGTTATACCACACAGATTTAAAACTTCCCTTGAAGTCCTTATGAAAAGGCATCTTGTGGTCAGAGGGTTAATCTTTGTCATGGTTCACTAAAATGCTCTACCCACCTGAGAGCCCAGGATCTCCTTTCTCTCCCTTTGCCCCCGATGGTCCTTGATATCCAGGAGGACCCCTGGGACCTGCAGAGGTGAACACAAACACCCGTATGTGGAGTGGAAATGGAGGCAGGGGGCTATCTGCGGTCTTTGGCTGAAACAGCAGTATCACGGACAATAAGCAAAAAGTCAAAGAGGAAGCAAAACCAAATATATCATCATTTTTCCATGTCACAGCTCAACAAATTTAAATGTCATTTTGAATTTAAAAATGATGTGAAACCAGGGAGGGTCATGTTTCTGCTTCAGTGTACACCATTCTTACACAACACTCCTCAGATGGGATGTTACAGGCACAGCCAGAGACCCCGACAGACCAACGCTAGGGGATATCCCTCCCCCCAGGCCAGCCCGGCCCCCCTTCTGCTCCGGCTGTCCGACCTCCAAAGGCCTCCTCTCCCTCTGAGGCAGTCGTTATGCTACCTTCTAAAGCCGACTTCTACTACAGGTCATTGTCTCCCAGATTCAGAGATGATGGCAGCGTTTTGTCCTCCCAACAGAGTCGGACAGTAAGCCCCAGAGCCCCAGAAGGACAGAGGCCGTGTTAGCATACTGTCATTGCCCCATCCCTGAATGAGGAAGTTGTTCTTAGTCAAACTGTATGTCGTAATGAGAGCTTTGTGCTTTGCTGGTAAAAACATAATGAACACAGATGTATCTTGACTCCATTTAGCATGTGGAGGTAAACCCGGATAACCCATCCCAACCGCTCAGTTTAGCTGTGCTGTGCCACACGTTGTCCTTTTCAAACGTTTCAGACCTTCAGCATCGCCTTAAAAAGGTCAAAGGATGTGGTCACAAACATACATAATCAAGGTTTTTGTCTGGAGCTGCTTAAGTCTCCACCCAGCAAAAAGTAGTCCATCCATGTCTATTACTTTTTATAGATATTTACAAATATAAACAATTTTCCGTGGATGATGTCCCCACAAATGCTCAAACAATGTTACCAACTGAGTCCACCCAGAAGCTGGGGTGAACAGAGACACAGACCAATAAGCTGTTGGATTTTCCTCCTTCAGCAAGACGTCCTGACCTAAGAGGAGGTTATCAGCAGAGAATACACCAGAACTAAGAATTATTATTATGTTTGAATACTGCCTGCTTCCCACAGGGGGGTGCTGCTTTTTTATCAAGGTCTGAAACTGCAGAGGCATGCAAGATAGACCTGAGCACGTGCAGAATGCCAGATTTTTTATCCGTAAAAAGTTTTCATTTGTGTCTAAATGGTCTCTAAACTCCACAAAACATTTCCACTCAAACACAGAGTTTTCAGTCTTTTCTGTGTCTGTTCCCAAAAGTTCATGTGAGAAGGACCTTTTATTCAGGGGACATTTTACAGATCCTGAATCAAAGCTTCCTGCTCTTGAACCCTTTTCATGCTCAAAGTGACAAAGCAGGCAGAGTTTAAAGGATCCCTTCGTGTGCTGACTTAAACTCAAACCTTGTTTGGTTCAGAGTTTGATACCCAGAACTGTTTTCCCTATAACAGTACAGCTTTTAAACCAACAGCATGTCAAATCTGACACAGGATCACGATGAGACTCATTAACTTTACCTGCGCCGGGCTCTCCTTGTTGTCCTTTGACTCCCATTTCCCCCTTTGGTCCTGGAAGCCCAGCTGCCCCAGAGTCTCCTGAAATAAAGAAAATCCCAGAGTTTAGGGGTTCTAGCTGGTTGGTGGCAGCTCAGAGCTGGTAATCCATATTTGTCCATTTGTTTAAAATGCATTCATGTTTCTCATTTCTCTGCTTCCTCTCTCACCCTCTTCATCCTTCCCAGCCTCTTTCTTTCATTATATTATGTAGGCAATAAACTGAAATAAAATCTCTTTCTGAAGCAGAAGGGAAGTTTCACTTCTATCTGTCTGTTACCAGGCTATTGTCGGTCATCTCTTTTTAACCACTTAACACGTTTGTTCTCACCTCGACTAACACTCACTTCATAGATGTTTTAAGAGGCATCAAGGATTAACCCCTCCAAAGGAGGAGGACAGCAAAAAGAACATCATTACGATAAAGGAGAGAATGGGTAGATCAGATATATAACTCGTCCTTTTAAACGGGATAAGAACAATCACACCAGGATTTGACCAAATGTCAGAGGTACATTCAGAGGTACATGGAGGCTACTTTTCACTGGACATGAATCTGTAACCAGACATTAGCAGAACAAATAGCTCCATTGGATCAGGCCCCAGTCAACGTAAAAGTAAAGTTAGGACCTCATCAACAGTCTGAACTCTAGAAACTCGATGCTTTATCATCAAATGATGAAGCGATTCAACCAGAATCTGTAAAACTACGACAGGCTATTTGAAATCTAATGGTGACACCACAGTCTGTGTGGTTTGTTTCCAGGTTGAGTTTCTGGGTTTCTGGGTTTCCTCATGCTTTTACTCAGTTTCCTGTTAGTTCCCTCAGTTCCTGCCCAGGCTCTGTTTTATTCTGCTCTCAGTCTGCTTCATTTCTCACCTGCTCTCCACCCATGTCCCCCCCCACAAGCCCCTCTGTTCCACTGGTTCCTATCGGGCTCTTGCTGAATGCCGTCTTGGTTGCCGGACCCTTTGTGTTTCCAGTGCTTTTAGGCGTTTCTTGGTTCTGATTTTCTAGGTTTTGTTTCTTTCTAATTCAGCTGTAGGTTTTGTATCCAGCTGCTGTGCATATTTTGTAAGAAACTATAGTTCTTTGGAAGTTTTTTCGTTCCCCTTTTTGTTTGTTTTTCTCCTGACTAACTTGGATCCTCCCCGCCAAGGCAGCCTTTAACAGGCCAAAGTGGTTTTGAGGGGTAGAGGTTGCTACATCTCTCTTAAAAAAAAGCCAAGACTAGCAAGTTAAAATTAGAGACAGAAACTGATCCAGATTTGATAAACGGGAAGTACAATGTGCTACTTGCTGGCAATAAAGACACAAAGTCATTCATTCATTATCAATACCGCTTATTCCCTGATGGGGTCGCGGGGGGAACTGGAGCCTATCCCAGTGGTCAACGGGCGAGAGGCAGGGTACACCCTGGACAGGCAATATGGAATGTCCAACCAACCTAACATGGAGGTTTTTGGACTGTGAGAGGAAGCCGGAGAGAACCCACGCAGACACAGGGAGAACATGCAAACTCCACCCAGAAAGGTCCTGGGTCCCCCGGGACTCGAACCCAGAACCTTCTTGCTGGGAGGCAACGGTGCTAACCACCACACCACCATGCCGCCCGACACAAAGTCAGTTACCTGTTTATGTACATTGAAGGCAATTAGTATGAATAGAAAAGAAGAACCTCCCATTTTCTCCTGAGCTAAGCAACATTAAGGCCCTGCGAGCTGTGAGCTTCTCAGCCAGTAATCTGAGGACAGGAGAAGCTCCTGATTCTCCACATGGACCTTCCACGTCCGTTTGAGTGGGAGAAGATCCACTAGAACTTTAGACGGTCTGAGCTAAGCTATGGGAGCATTGGTCCCCCTGACTCTTACTCCTGGCCCACATCATGATGACAGAAGGTGGGGGTGAAGGGACAGAGTACAGAGCTGAGTGGAACAAAACACCCCAGTAACTGGACTCTGTGCTCTCAAACAGAAGGAATACAGAAATGTGTTGGGGCATATTTTCGTAATAAAAAGTGTGGGCTTTGTGGTGATCCTGCTCATTGGTTCCTGGTTATTTCCTGTCTGTTCAGCTCTCCTTTTAGATCTCCCATCAGCCGTCCATCAAGCCCTGCTCCCCAAGGACACCTCCTCCCCCCATTGGACTTCTGTCCCCGCCACCTGGATCCTGTATACCAGGGGTCTCAAACTCCAGTCCTGTAAGGGCACCTGTCCTCCAACACAGAACCCTCTGGTCCTGGTTCCCCCAGGACTCCAACCCAGAACCCGGAGCCGGAGAACCAGGAGAGAACCCACAGACACAGGAGAACATGCAGATCCGGTTCTCTGCTCCAATCACTTGGACTCACCTTTGATGCCTTTTTGTCCAGGTTCTCCTGGAAGTCCGGGGAGCCCGTCTGTGCCTGGACGACCGGGGGGTCCTGGACACACACACACAGGACGCTGTAACCCGATCTGTGTCCCTGCCTCTCTGTGGAGGCTGCTCACATCTCCAGCCCCAGACCCGTCTCCCTGCTCTGTGTCCACTCGTTTTCAGGTACCTGTTTTGAGGCTGATGTTTGCTAGCTTGCTGTGCAGGTGGAGGCTGCTGAGGTTCAGCAGGGTCAGGTCGGCCCTCAGCCTGTCCAGCTGCCCCTCCTCTCCACACAGCTGTCTCACCTGTTGTCACAGGAGGCAAAGATTATGTACACTGTCCACCTTTTATCAAGAGATGTGTGGATGATAAGGCGGGTTTGGCTGTGGTTGGTCTGGTGACACATGTCAGAGTTGGGCCAACAGGACTCAGGAGTAGATCTGGTCTTTGGGGGATCAGATTAAACGGGGCAAAGGAGCTCCACTGAGCTGATAAACTGCAGGTCAGGAGCACGTTGGAGCCAAAAAAAATAATCCTCACGCAGAGCTGGGGCCCAGCAGACTCATGGGAAGATGGCTGTGTCCCCTATGGCGGCTCACCTGGATGCACCAGCTAGCTTAGCATCACAACAAAATACAGCCTATTAGCTCCTCTGTCAGGACAGCAAACCTGTCTGAGCCCTGAGCACGCACAGCCGGACACGTGCATTTTATGTAACCAGGAAACACACCTACAGGAGCCAATAAAAGTTTACAGGCAGGAAAGGATAATGTCAGAGGGCTGCAGGTGGTACATAACACATGTTAGTTCCAGATATTCCTGAATGAATGCTGTTTGCTAACAGGGAGTTGTGTGTGAGGAAAAAAGCCCCACTCGTGGTTCGGCCTTCCCTGAAAACAGAGCTATGGAGGAGCAGAGGCACCTGAGTCTGCAGGGCCCCCAGGTGCCCCCTCAGGCTGCTGGTCTCCCTGCTGCTGTTGTGGATCAGAAACTGGAGGCCGCTATTGTCCAGGGAAGTGTTGGCAGACGTCAGCCTCTCTGAAGTCTGTGGAGCCGGCACCGACTTTAACTTGAAAACTGTGTCCAAAAGAGAAGGAGAGATTCACCAAAAGCCTAAAAAAAGTGGATGATTTCGGGTTTTATTTCAGCTCTGTACCTATAAGAGTGTTAATGGATTTACCTTCATAAATGAGAAAGGCGTTGAGAGCTGTCTGTAAGATGATGTAAAGGATCATTAACTTCAGACACCACTGTGCTCTGGCTCTGGCTGGCTTCAGGTCTGAAAGACAGAAACAGAGCTAAGAGCCCCCACCATGAGGAAATCCTTCTTAATGAAGAGTCTGAGTATTCCAGCCACTGCCAGGGGCCACGAGCATTTAGGAACCATGGTCAGCTGAGTCCGGCTGTAACAGAATTATGACAAACTCTTTGACATTGTTCTGTTTCCTGTTTTGTTTTGTTGTTCTTCCTGTCTGATCCCATTGTAGTTTTTCCATCATCCATCCATCCGCCTCTCTACTGGCCACCACCAGCCTTTTTGACGTTGCCATGACAACGCAGCTTCCGTGAACTTGTGCTGATTTGGCCTCAAAATATTTAAATCAAAATCCAAATACACAATATAGTAAAATAAATAAATAAATGAGTGAATCCATAAAATAATAATAAAAAATAAATAAATATTTCTGAAAGTATTTTAAGTATTGTAAAGTATTTTTAATACATTATTTAAAAATCTCCCTCTCGCCACCAGGGGGGGCTGCAGCCCCCCACTTCCGGTGGCCCTGGAACACCGTGTTTCTGTGGGGTCTCCTGCAGCCTGGCTCCCACAGAGGGGATGAAACGTGGCTACCACCTGCTGGTTGCTGGTTTTCTCCCAGACTAGCAGAGCAGAGGGAGGTTCTCTAACCCTAACCCTAACCCTAACCCTAACCCTAACCCTAACCCTGACCCTCACCCTAACCCTGACCCTGACCCTAACCCTGACCCTGACCCTAACCCTGACCCTGACCCTGACCCTAACCCTGATCCTGACCCTAACCCTGACCCTAACCCTAACCCTAACCCAGCCATGAGGACCTCACAAACTTTAATATTTGTTCCTGGATCCATCAGAAGAAACAGAGTAAAAGATGCTGATGGGATTAATCACAAACCAGAGAGCTGGAGATGGAAACAGCAAAGGGGAAATGTTAACGTTCAGTTATTGTTGAATTTTAACTGAAGCTTTCTTTGAGGGAATTTAATAGTTTTGTTGTCATTAAATGAATGACAGCAGTTGAATCAGCTTCAGAGTCCACAGTCAGCTGTCGCCATTCAGGTTCTGACTCAAATAATCAGCCCTTTGATTTCCACATGGGGGATATTAGCTTTGGCCGAACGGCAGCTGAGTCTATCTAGTATCTGAATGTAGTAGTAGTATTTTAGTTCTTCCTTCTTCCTTCTTCTTGTCTGTGGTCTGTCCTGCTTTCATTAATGCTTCTTTCCATTTGTGTTTTGTTCAACTTCCCTGTTCTTGTCATGTCTCTTTGGCTTTGTTTTCTCAGTTTGGTTTTTTGGTGTTCCGGATTAATCAGGGTCTCCTCCCCACTCCTTCCCTTTAGGTCCCTCTTATCCTCCACCTGAGACAGAACTTACAACCCCTCCTTGTTCCCGTAGTGCCTTGTCCCCCCCGCCCCCCCGGTGGTACTCACCCTCCGGCTGGGGGCTGTACAGCTCACTCCTGCTGAGCGACATCTCGAACAGCGGGTTGCAGTGGGTGTGTGACACCTGGGCCATCTTCTTCTCAGTCCCAAGTCCCCTCAGCTCCTTCTTCATCAGGGAAATGCAGCTCTGCCCAGATTACAACAGAACCTCCCAGAGTCACATGAGGAAGAGGAAGGAACTGCCTCTGACTTGCAGCTGAGGAGGCGAATCTCCTCAGAGTCCAGGCTGCTGGGCCAAATGAGGAAGAGGAGGAGGCCTTTCAGAGCAGAGCCAACCGGACAGGTTCAGCTAGAGCCGGCTTTAGAACACTGAGGCTCTCTGGACCTGCAGCCTGGTTCTGGTTCAGTCCAGCTGCGGAACCTTTGGAAAATATGTCCAGCTCTTTGGTTCTTTGGAAACTTTTAGATGTCTCATTCTCTCTTCTGTTTGTCTCAGTGTGTCCGGCTGGTTTTTTGTGTTCTCTCATGTCTCGGTCTGGTAATTTCCTGTTTTATTTTGAAAGGTACACCCCTTGTTTCAGGTCACTTCCTGTGAGTCCCCTGTCTGAGGGTCCCCCCTGATCCCTGATTGGTTCCCCATGGTTCCCAATCTGCCTTGTCCTGGTCTTATTATTCTGTGTTCATAGTTTTTCCTCCTGAGTGAGGGAGGATTATTTTGTACTTTATCAGCCTTTTGCATCCTCATTATGGAGAGTTATTAATCTGTATTTGTCCACAGTTTTGTTCTGCCTCGCAAGACAGATTCTTATTTGGTACTTTGTTCTTAGCTGCCTCGTTTTCAGAGTGATTATCACTTAGTACTGTTCACAGCCTCTGTTTCCACTCAGTGAGTGTGAAGTTTTGTTTCTATTAGAGTTTTTGCAAAGATCTCTGCCTTGAGTATATTTCTGACACTGGGTTTGATCCAGCTCGTGTCGCTTTCTCTCTCTGCCCCCATTCCCGGTGTGCCAGTTTCAAATAGAGACCCCTAAAACACCCTATGAACAGCCTGGGATCTATTTCATCTTGGCTGAACATCTCCCATTATCCTGAATATTCAGCTGTAGGCCTGGTTGAGGCCCAGGTCGTTCCTGCTACTCCTGGTTTGTCCGCGTCAGATTTATTTTTTATTTAATCTCTTTAAATTGAGGATAAAGAATAATGGGAATGAAGCAGGAGAGGGAAGCTGACTACTTTGTCTCTAACCTGATTTGTTAGCGCTCATGTGGTCATTCCATCTGAGTGTGATTCCCTGCGTGGCCAGCAGAGGGAGCTCCAGACCAGAACACCTGGCTCCTGCTGCCTGGTGGATCCGGATCCGCTTTAGTTTGAGAAACGCTCCACAAATGAAACATGTGCTGCCTGTCTGCTGCCAGCAGGTGTCCCCCTTCACCCACTTCCTGTCTGCTCAGCAGCAGCCCACAGCCTCCAGACCACCCGGCCTCTCAGACATGTTTATGTTCATGTTTATGCATTTGGGAGACGCTTTTATCCAAAGCGACTTACAGAGATATCTGAGAAATCTGAGAGATATCGGAGACTGCTGGATTTCACCTACAAATCACATCCTGTGTGTGTGTGTGTGTGTGTGTGTGTGTGTGTGTGTGTG